GTAGAGTGTTTTGAGGGAGGATGCCTACTGCTTTGTAAGACAGCTTGACCTGTGTGGTAGGAGAGCCCTGCTCTTCAACCTTGACAGCTGCTGTGGAACCTACTAGGCAGATTCTGGCACCTTTCGTTCGTTTGTTTGTTTTTAAAATTATGTGTGTGGGTGTTTTGCCTGAATGTATGTTTGTGAACAAGCTGTACGTCTGGTGCTGGTAGAGGGCAGAAGGGGTTGGATCCCTGAGACTGGATTTACAGATGGTTATGAGGTACTCTAACTGGGAATCAAACCTGTGTCCTCTGCAAGAGCAGCAATAGGTGCTCTAAACCTCTGAGCTCTCCTGCCCCCACTCCCCCTTTGAGACAGGGTCTTACTGTGCAGCTCTGGCTGGAACTCACACTGTTGACCAGGCTGGCCTCAGTCTTACAGAGATTTGCCTGGCTCTGCCTCCAGAGTGCTGGGATTAAAGGCATGCGCCATCACACCTAGCATTTGGTTTTATTTTTTTAATTATGCATGTGAATGTGAGTGCAGTACCCTTGGAGGCCAGAAGGCACTGGATCACTTGGTGCTAAAGTTATAGGCAATTGTGAGCCACCTGTTCTGGGTGCGGGGAAGCAAACTTGGGTCCTGTGCAAGAACAGTACCTGCTCTGAACCACTGAGCCCTAGGTGTCTCTTCTTTGAGACAGTGTCTCATGTAGTTCAGGCTGGTCTCAAATTGGCGGTTCACTGAAGCTGACCTTGAACTCTTCTTTCTCCTGCCTCTAACTCCAGAGGGAGCGCTAGCATCACAGGGAGTGTTTGTGTGTGTGTGTGTGTGTGTGTCTGTGTGTGTGTGTCTGTGTGTGTGTGTGTCTGTCTGTATGTACAGTGCTCTGGGCCTTATCTGGGCAGGGGATCTCTGCATTGTATTTTCTCTGGAAGTGTGCTTTCTCATTGTCCCAGCTGTCAGGCTGCCCAGTGCTGTGTATTTATATTTTAACAAATGATCATTATTCATGAACTTTTATGTAGTTTAGTATGGAATCCTATTTAAATATTTTAATGTTTTTTTTTTCCTGCTCTCTTTCCATCAAGGCTTTGACTTCAACATAATCTTTTCTTTTTTCTTCTTTTTGTTTCTGTTTTTTGTTTTTCCAGTTTGAGATAGGGTTTTTTTTCTGTAGCACTGCCTGTCCTGGAACTCTCTCTTTAGACCAGGCTAGCCTTGAACTCGGATATGCGCCTGTCTCTGCCTCCCGAGTGTTAAAATTAAAGGCACCACCATTGCCATAATAATCTTTTCTCTTCAGTATATATATACTTTAATTCACCGTTCTTTGTACTGAACTCACCGCTCATCTGCTGTTTGCTCTGTGCACACTGTTGTAGGCCTGCAGGCCTCAGGCAGTTGGTGGTAGGAAGGGAGCCAGGGTCTTGAGGCAGTGCTAGTATTTGAGCTCTTGGGGAGACAAGAGGGGAGCGTTGGCCAAGAGATTGGAACTAGGCTGAGGACACCCAGTGACTCAGGGGTTGGACTTGTGGACCTGGGAAGGGTGGGAAAGAAAAGATAGGAGTTGCCATAAAGCAGGGTGGGTCCTGGCTTTGCTTGGTGCAGTGGGGCACGGTGTAGACAGTAGGTGAATTCATAGTTTTAGAGCTTTGTTTTGCGAGGCTTCCTCTGTAGCCCAGGCTAGCTTTAGTCTCTCCATCCTCCTGCCTTAGATCCTTCACCCCGGTGCTGGGGTTACAGGCGTTTACCACCACAGCTGGCTAGTGTGCATAAATTGTGACTTGTGTTCCTTCAGCTGTTCTTAAGGCTTCTGCAAATTCATATGTAGAAATGAAAGTCACCTGTGGGCTGGCAAGATGGCTTGGGTGCTGGCCCTAGGACTCACATGGTTTAAGGACAGAACCAAGTCTTGCAGTCTGTCCCCTGACCTCCAAACATATGCTATGGTATGTGTGTCACCTTCCCATGAACACACGTCTATAAATAGACATAATTCAGCATGTCCATTCTTGGGTACTCCCCTGTAGTGCTGCGACCAGTCTCTAGGTTTGCTAAAAATAGTTTCCTTGCTTCTTTGAAACATGGTGGCACATGCCCTTAATCCTAGCACCTGGGAGACAGAGGTGGGCAGATTTCAGAGAGAGAGACCACATGGTCCACAGAGCGAGTTCTAGGACAGCCAAGGTCACACAGAGAAACCCTGTTTCCAGACACTAAAAAAGAAAAGAAAAAGATCTTGGCGTGGTAGTACATTCATGTACACTGAAGGCAGAGGCAGGAAGGTCACTGCAAACAAGGCCATTTGGTCTGCATAGTGAGTTTCTGGCCAGCCTAGGGTACAGAATGAGACCGAATCTCTAAAACCTCCTTCTTTTTTTTAAGTCACCAAAATTTCTCTTGGAATGATCGGTGAAGTACTTGTTGTTACATTTGTGGCTAGACTGTACTTACTTGTCCAGCTCAACATGTCCTTGTTGTGGCTGGAAGGTGAAAGACTAGTCTTAAACAATGTAAACAGTCTCAGAAGGGGCTGAGTTTATGCTGTGATATACAAAGGATTGTAACTGATTGCCAGGAATTGTTAGGTGACTTGCCTGGGGGCAGGTTAATGAAGCAGTTTCTAGTCCTTCCCCAAAGGAACCCAACCTAATGTTTTGCTGAGATCATCTTGGAGACACTGAATACTGGGAGCTCAGGGACTTCCCCTTAGGGTGCTAGATGACCTACCCAAGGTAGATTAGTGAGGAAAACATTGCACTGTGTTCCTGGAATTCTTTGTATAGGCCAGGCTGGCCTTGAACTCACAGAGATTCACTTGTTACTGCTTCCTGAGTGCTGGGATTAAAGACATTTGGCACCATATCTAGCTTTCTTTGGGCTTTCTATAAAGATCTCGTCATGCTGTGGATATGCCTGGTCATCCTTGCTTTGGCATGTGTGATTGGTTAGAGTGGCCTTAAGCTAATGTACATTAGACTGCGTGAGGCAACCCAGCAAGGTTTGTGTAGATTCTTTGTGCTTTCGGTACATCCTTGCTTTCTCCAGAGGATGGGGGAGGGTTTCTCTGGAGTAAGGAGGGGAACATGACTGTTATCAGACAGAAATAGGTCAGACAATTTCTTTATGGTTGATGCTGAGACAGGCAAGTTTGGGGGAGGGTAGGTTAGGGTTTCTATGAGTTGGAAGAGAAACTCTAGTTTGTATTTCTTTCTGTTTTCTGGATACAGTCTTATGTAACCTAGACTGGTCATGAACTTATGACCCCCGTGCCTCTGTCCCTCCTAGTGCTAGGATTCCTAGCATGTACCATCATACACAATGTAAGAAATTACATTTTAAAGTATTTTTCATTAATTCTTTGACAGTTTCATACATGAACAAATGTGTTTTGACTGTATTACTTCCTTGTTTTCCTTCCATCCCTCTTCTCAATATATTCCCCTTTCTAGTTATCTTCCCCTCCTCCTCCCACATCTCCCCTCCCTACTCAGCTTAATTAGTTACTTGTGAATTCTAAGTTTCTGTAGCTTGCTTTGAGGAGGGCGCTTTACAACAGGAACCAAGATTTTTTTTTTTTTTAATCAAAGTATCATGATACTCGTCTAGGTCTGGCTTTCCTTTCATTTAAGTATGCATTTTGGTGAGCTTTAATATTAGTTAATAGTACATAGCTAACGCTTTAACAGTACTTAATGTACAGTGAGGTCCATGTCTATAATATCAGCACTTAGCAGACTCAAGTCAGAACGGTGCTGGTGTACCTGCTATGAACCTGCCTCACCAAAACAAAACAAAAACTAGCTGTGTCTTATTTGTGTGTGTGTCCCCCTGATGGATGCAACTGCAGTGAATTTGGAGGGAGTCCAGGGACTGCCTTACCTCATAGCTGTTCTTTTTCTTTTCTTGTTTTGAGACTGTGGTGGTTTGAATGAAAATGGCCCACATAGGCTCATAGATTCAGATGCTTTGTAATAGGGAGTGTCAATACTTGACAGGGATTAGGTCTGGCCTTGCTGGAGGAAGTGTGACATTGGGGCTGGGCTTTGGGGTTTCAAATGCTCAAGCCAGGCCCAATGTCACTTTCTTCCTGTTGCCTGGAGATCCAGATGTAGAACTCACAGCTACCTGTCCAGCACCATGTCTGCATGCTTCCCACCATGACAATAATGAACTGAATCACTGTAAGTCAGCCCCAATTAAATGTTTTACTTTCAAAGAGTTGCCTGGCCATTGTGTCTTTTCACAGCAATAGAACAGTGACTAAGACACACAAGGTCTCATTATGTAGCCCTGGCTGGTCTGGAACTTACTCTGTAGACTAGGCTGATCTCTAATAACCCAGAGACCCTTCGCCTCTGCTGGGACTAAAACATGTGTTACGACACCTGGCCTTACTTCTGTGTTCTTGTTTGTTTGTTTCCAGACAGGGTTTCTCTGTATAGCTCTGTAGACCAGGCTGGCCTGGAACTCACAGAGATCCGCCTGCCTCTGCCTCCCAAGTGCTGGGACCGAAGGCTTGAGCCACCACCACCACCACCAGGCAGCTTCCATGTTCTTTTTGGTTTTGGGGGTCCTAGGGATTGAAGCCAGGGTTTCACACATTAGTCAAGTGCTCTTATTGTTGACATCCAGTCATGTGCATGACTGAATGGGAAAGATGGCTTTGGAGATGTGATTTGTGAGAAGGAAGCAAGTAATGGGAGTGTGTGTTGGCTGTGACTTGTACAAGTGTCAGTGATGCCTGCGGCCTCTAGTGGCGTGCCCATTTGTGTCTAAAAATGGCTACACTCACAGGGTAACTTTCCCTGTCATCTGGGCACGCGATGTTCTCCAGGCCCCAGTACCATTCCCTAGTTGTGATAACTGCCCCTTTATGTAAGGTACACAGTAGCACCAGCCTAGATACCTGTAAGTACACCTTCATAGATGCCCAAGTCCCAGTCCAGTAGGGGAATCCGTGTTGAATGAAAGGGGAATTGAAAATAGAATCACTGGTGGATATCTGTACTCACCGTCCTCAATAATTGGGAGATGCATTTTCAGGTTGAAGCCATGTAGGTGTCATTCGATACCTTCTTTAGCCTCCAATCCTTAAGTGTAGAAACTCTGACTTTCCAATTCCATCACATTAGCAAGCATCTGTTAAATATTCATGAAGTTATTGCTGGGGGGGTGGGGTGGCAGCATTGACTGAAGAATGTCCATTAGGAACCAAGCCTTCCACTGCTAGCTCCTGATACCAGGGGCTAACCTTAAAGGTACAATAGAAAGGGCCCTACTGTTGCCAAGGCAACTAAAGTTCAAGATCATCTGGTCTCCAGGCAACCAGGTCTGCAATTTTGCCTCAAATACTTTCACAGGCACTCTCAAGAGAAACCCTTCCCTGCCTTTCCCTTGTAGCTTGAGCCCCGAGGAGGAGCAGAGAACAAGACCCATGGAATGATGTGAGGTTTGGAATTTTTTTTTTTAGTGCTGGGAAATGTACCTAGGACTTCATGCCTGTACATCCTCAGGCCTGGTTTGGGAGTTCTGAATTGGCTGAGCCAGTGGATCAGGCAGTAGTTTATGTCTGTATTAGAAAAAATTACAATGGAAAGCAGGTAGTGTTTCTCTATCCTCGTGTCTAAAATATGCTACCTTTGATTATTTTTCTTTTTTAAAGTTACTGTTATGTTCCCATACACTTGATGTCTCTAAGTCCTCCTGAAGCTTGTTGGGGCTGGATGCATTATTATCAGCTTGTGATGTGGGAAAGAATTGGCATGACTGCTCTCTTACCCAGCCTCCAAAGGGATTAGGCTGGTCTGTGTAAGAGTTCTCTCTCTGATGTCATAAGAGGCCACTGTTACCTTTGACAGTGTAAGCAGCAGTTACTGTTTGGGTCAGAGAGGATGCTGCACTTTTAAGGGCATGAATACCATGGGGGAAAAGCCACAGCTTGTCTCATGAAAAGCTCAGAGATACTTTAAAATGGTCATTTGTTGTGCTTTGTTTTGAAATAGGGTCTCAGTAGGTAGCCCTGGCTGATCTGGAAGTCAGATCAGCCTGCCTCTGCCTCAAGAGTCCTGGGATTAAAGGCGTGTGCCATCACTAGTGGCAAATGCCCACATTTCTATAAAGAACTTTTCAAAGTAGTGAACTGAGCTACTTGGGATGTTCTGCCAGTGTTACTGAGTGACAAATCCCTCCTCTGAATTCAACCCAGATAACTGATTCCATGCCAGCTGGATTTGATACTATTTGTCTTCTAGGAAATAGGTTTTGCCAGAGCATGGTAGCATCCTTTATGCTGGGGCTTGGAGGTGCCAGTGGGAGGATCAAGGAATTCATGTTAGCCTTGGCCTCAGAGTGAGTTTCAGGCCAGCCTGGGCTACATGAGACTGTCTTAGAACAAATATAAATGAGCTTTTGGACTATGTTGCAAAACCTCCAAGGCTAAAATATTGCTATATGCCTTCTGTATCATATTCCTCCATATTTTCCATTGTTTTATTTGAGTCAGGGTCTCATTAGCCCAGGCTGGCCTCAAACTCACTATGTAGACAAAGATGACCTTGAATTCCTGGTCCTCTGCCTGCAACTTTTTTTTTAAAAAAAGATTTATATATTTATTATGTATTGTGTTCTGCCTGCATGTATGGCTGCACACTGGAAGAGGCACCACATCACATTGCAGATGGTTGTGAGCCACCATGTGGTTGCTGGGAATTGAACTCAGGACCTCTGGAAGAGCAGCTAGTGCTCTTAACTGCTGAGCCATCTCTCCAGCCCTGCCTGAACCTTTCAAGTGTTGGGATTATAAACGTACAGCCTGAGAAAGGTTCTTAGGTCCTGTGCATTGTCTGGTTGGGCAGTGAGGATGGCTTAGAAAGAGGGAAACAATCCCACCATCAAAACCAGCAGCAAGGATGTTAGCAGCAGCAGCTAATGTCCCGGCCGGGACATCTCACATGGTTCTTAGTGTGGTTTGTGGGATCTGGTGAGGGAAGTGGTACAGGCAGCCCATTCTAAAGAAAGAAAACAGACAGACAGTGCAGAGCTGTCAGCTACACACTGCTTGGCTTTTAGTTAATTCCAAATGAAGTCAAGCTGACAACCACAATGAGCCACCACACTTTTACCTTCTATCTTGTTGTTTTTTAAAATAGAAAAATAACTTCCCAAGGGGTCTGGAGGGATGGCTCAGTGGCTAAGAGCACTCGCTACTCTTCTAGAGGACCTGGGTTCAATTCCCAGTACCCACATGATGGCTCACAACCATCTGTAACTCCAATCCCAGGAGACTCAGCACCCTCTTCTGGTTCTCAGACACCAGACTCACAGTGGTGCACAGGCATAGATACAGACAAAATACCCATACACACACATAAAATTTAAATTTTTAAAAAAAAAAATTCCCAAATCTGTTGGTGATTTAGTAAGAAGATGATGTTTCCCCTGTAGTTACCCTCAAAGTTAGTTATGCCAATGTTTGAGAAACACAGCCTTAAGGGTTATCAAAAATTTGGCCATTTAAAGGAATAAAAATGGAGAGGGCCTATGGAATGAGATAAAGGCTGGATCAAGGCCAGGACCAAGAAGGAGGGGGTAGGAGTTGATTGGGAGTGGGGGTGGATGCTGGTGACCTGTTTGATTGCCTTTGAGGACCTGTACTGGGTTTGGAGGTGGCAGCAAAGGACATTTGCAGCGTTTGTGATCTAACCTGGGAGGAAAATCTGTGAAATATCCATAGTGTTCCACCTCTGGCTGCTTAGTACCTAGTTCAGGTGTCTGGTGTAATTGGTGCATCCAAGAGGGCTGAAGGTATGGTCTTCAGTGGTTGGGAAGGCTACAGTGGAAGAGAGGAGACCACACATTCCTTGATGAATAAGTCAGCGCCAACAAGTTCTGCATGCCCTGATTATCATTTTATTCTCTTTATGAATCCATAGACTATTCCAGTCTTCAGTTTCAGGTCTTTGTGCTTTTTGTCAGGTCTCTGTTAGCCTGACTCAGGAATTGCTGCTTGGTTGCCATCACTTACAAATGGTGTTTTATGGGCCCCCTGACTGTCCTTGCAGGACCTGGCATTTGAGTGCCTTTGTGCGAGTCCCTATGGCTCTGTGTCATGCCGACTGCATGCAGCACTGGCACCACCTGGCCCTGTAGCCCTTGAGCCTATAGGAAAGAAGAAGAGAAAGCTGTTGTAGTGTTTTGCTGTTGTAGAATTTATGTAGGTCCTAATGCATTCTAAATCATTGCTCACCACTAACTTACAGCCCAGCAGCGGAAAGGAAAGCTGAAGTAAGTTCCCTTTAGCTGAGACTCTTTAAGAAGCTTGAAAGGTGGGCCGAGTGGCACGCCACTTTAGTCACAGCACTCGGGAGGCAGATGGACCTCTGTGATGCTGGTGTGTGTAGCTAACTCCAGGAAAACAATAAGTAAGCAGGGGGTGGCACACGCCTTTAATCCCAGTACTCGGAAGGCAGAGGCAGGAGGAGCTCCGAGTTCAAGGCCAGCCTGGCTACATGAGACCCTGTCTGAAAGCCCTCACCACAACTCCACTCACCCTGCCCTTCAGCTCTCACATCAACATGTCCATCTTTCACTGAGGGGATAACCCCGTAAGCTTTTGTTTTCAGCTATTTTCCCTTCTCTTCCCTGTGTGTCAGTAAGGTGAAGACTGCTTCAAAATCAAATAGTGGAATTGTTTTGAAATGAAAGGCACTCTCTGCATGAAATTGCTCTCTGTCAGTCTCAGGCACTAGACCCTTTCCCTTCAGTGTTTGGTCATTTGCCAACTTTTAGGTTAATTCAGTTGATAAATGACTGGGAAATACTATGGTCATTCTTACTGCGTTTTTGTTCTTACAGATTCTTTATGTTGAGATAGTTCTGTGGCCTACTAACATTCACGGGGGAGCCGGTGTATAGAAATGGGAGGGAAGACTAGGACATTCCCAGCTCACCTCTGGGCTCCTACCCTTGAGTCTGAGTTCTTTCCCAAAGGAAGTGAGCACCGGTCAGGATCTGTGATGGTTTTGAATAAAATGCTGACTGACGTGTGAGAGAGCCGTGCTGTGACTTCTAAGGCAATTAAGGGACAAGAGTAACCATTTACTTTTGACCTCTTGGGCAGTGGGTTGCTTTTTCCGGGAGTTTTTGGTCGTGAGAGTTGGTGCAGGTTGCGCCAGGGCGGAGAGTCAGGAGCTCGTGTGTGGGGTTCCCTCCTGCACTAGGGTACTTGCAGGAGCTCTGCTGGGAGTGAATGGGCCACCCTGCAAAGGCAGGTGGGAAGAGGCAAAGCCTAGGCTTCTGCGAGGGCTTTCACGATCACCTTCCCTCCTTGGCAGGCACTGAGCGACCGCTTCAGCGGTGAAATTCCCGATGACCAAATGGCGCACAGTTCATTTTTTCCCGATGAGTACTTCACCTGCTCCTCGCTCTGCCTCAGCTGTGGGTAAGTGAGAGCAGCCGTGCCCATCCTCCAGCTTGGAACCAGAGGCTGACAAGTGTTGCTTCTGACTGAGTGTGTGGCCCTGTCACCTGAGTGCTGTTAAAGTATAGAATCTGATGGGCTGGGCCGGCATGATGGCTCAGTGAGGAAAAAAAAACTTCTAAACTTGAAGACCTGAGTTTGATCTCTGGGACCCATGTGGTGGAAAGAGAGAACTGAATCCCACAAGTTATCCTCTGACTTTTGCTAATGCAGAGGGAGAGAGGGAGGGAGGAATCGAGGGAGAGGAGAGGAGAGAGAGATGGACTAAAGAAAATAAATTCCCAGGGGTAAGCCTCGTGGTGCATTTCTGACAAGTTCCAGTGGCCCTGCTGGTCTGGAGACCACCCTTTGGGGCAGTAAGGGCTTTAGGAATACATGTTAGGAGAAATTGCCTGCAGACTGCTGTAGATCTGAGTGGTTGTCTTCCGGTGCAGGCAGTTTTCCTGGCAGGAGACTGTGTGGCCTGCTTTTCTCTGGTTCCTCAACCACAGCTGTCAGTGGTTATTGTTTTCTCACACTGGTCTATTTATTCAGCTAGTACTTAGTGTCCCCATCTTCACTCCAGCTGTGTACAGAGCTCTGTGACAGGTGCTGGTCCTGGGTGACGCTTTTCTTTCTAAGGACAAATTCTTAGAACACGGTTGGTTTTTCTAAGGAACATATGGAATTGAGGCCAAGGCCCCCAAGGGATCTTGTGGGATCCAGGGCTCTTACTTGGATGGATCTGGGTGTGCCTTTGGCAGTGGTGTATTCACAAGGCTCCTGGGGGTATTTTCAAGTGTACCTTGAGCTGAGAGCATTGGGTATAATAATTCCCCATCTTGAATCTGTAGCGTCCTAGTTGTTAAAATACAGGCTCAGATCAGCAGGTCTGGAATATGCCCATGTCTTGAACAAATCTCAGGGTGATGCTGCTGCTGGTCTGTGGACCCCACTTGGCTGCAAAAGGCTTAGAGCAGTGACTCACAAATGTTAGCATGAGTCAGAGGAGCCCAGAGTGTGCTGAACTGATTGGTTAGTTACATTTCAGATTTAGTAGCTCTACAGAGAACCTGAGAAGTGGTGGTTTTGGTAACTTCCCAAGTGTTTATAGAGGATTGGTGTATCATTTTAAGCTGTTGAGGGCAATTAAATCAGTCTTATTCCTTGCCTGATGGATCCTATGGGTCTAAAGAAAGTGTGTCAAGACCAGGTTCCAGTCTTCTTATCCTGTAGACACACTTCCAAATTCTCTTCACCTCTGAATTGTTTTGCTCATATTAGGGCTGCCATCTCCT